TAGATAGATAGATAGATAGATAGATAGATAGATAGATAGATAGATAGATAATATGTGTGTATCATATATTCTATATTCTTTATCCGAAGTCAGCTTGTTTGACAGACGAAACAGACGGACCACCTGCAATCACTTGAATGTATTTTTACGTATTCGTAGGTTCTCACACAGAAAAAATGATTGCTTTTATCATTGTGGTCGTAATATGAACTATGCAGGTAGGCGGTCGGGAAACAAATAGGACTGAACAACAACACGGCTCAGTGCACACCGCATTCAGCTGTCACAAGTACATCATTCACAACAGACGAGAACAATAACGACCAGGATGACGACGGTGATATGCATTGTCACGCATACCGGAAACCAGGTATTCATTTGGGCCCTCAACCCCTGTGGTCGCTCAATAAACTTGGCGTCACAGACTGTTCGCTCCAGTTCAAGTCCGTCCTGACCGATTCATGGTTGGCTGAATAAGTATAACCTTACAAATAAATTTTAACAGTTCCCTAAACAGTTATTTTCATTCAAATGACCGTATGCTGGAACTCACAGGCATTTCTCGGGTGTTGAAGTCGACACATTCTGTCTGTCATATGGTGGGTCATTGTTCCCTGCAACATAATCTTCGAATCAGAACTGTGTAATTATGGAAATTCTGGTAGCAAACTTGTGTGAGTTAGACAGCAAAAGAAAATTGTGTGATGGCAATTTCCGTGTGTATAGGGGTGACCTAATTGTCTGGAGTATCCGTACTGGACAGAAGAAAAAGACGTGACTTTCCCTTTATTTGAGTCTTCGGAACAATGGTGTCTGAAGACGTCTCACGCGATCGTGAGACAGACTGACCGGGTGATCAAATGTGTCCGAGTGTACAACGTCGCCCTGACGAAGTCAATAGCAATCCGACCACACACACACACACAAACACACATACGTGTGATTTCCGCATCGAATTCTATTGTATAGACAGCGGTTCTCACATTTCTTACCACTATGCAACTGATAAGTGTTTTTTCTCTCTCTCTGTATCAACCATTGATTTTGTTTTCCCATTCACTAAATTCGTTCGTTCATTCATTCATTTATCCATTTTAACGCAATGTAGCCAAGAGCAAATCCATTTCAATTCAATCTGCCGTCTATTCATTGTCCATCATACAACTGCGACATCAACTGCGACTGCCACTGCTGCTGCGTTTCACACACTTCCGATGTCGCAGATGGAACTTTGCCACGCGTCTAACTCTATCTCCCTCCAATCTATTAGGTTACTTTTCATTAGGCCTATTAAACACACACTGAGCGAGCGAGCGAGCGAGCGAGAGAGAGAGAGAAGTAAATCACGACTGTTAGTTGCATTGGTTTGTA